TAGTTGCAGGTAATCCTAAGATATTGCAAACTAGTTATTGTAACCGCTAGTCCGTATCACATTATTCATTGGAGTTTGAGGATTACGAATTAAAGATTAGAATTCAGAACAAAATGAATTAAAATTAAAATTATCTGACTGATCGAATTCTAATCTCCAATGCGTGGTGTGATACAGGCTTTACGCATGGAGTAAAAATTTAATTCCGTAAATAATTTATATAACATATAGATGTTGTGAAATAAATAATTTTAATTTTCACGCAAAATCTATTTGCGATTCCTGCAATGAAAATGAACGTGGTTTCAATATTTTTTCCTTCTGTTAATCTGTTCCTTTCTTTTTTGTTTTGAAAAAATTTTTTAAATTAAACAAAAACGAAAAATGAGGTCTCAAATACCGACGATATTTTATTTTAGCTTCGTATATTTGAAAAATGCTGAAATGTGTCATAAATGTTATTCATAAGTATTTAGTTCTCAAGTTTATTCCATTAATATCGCTTTTAATACGCTTTTAATAAACATAAAATTATAACTTTTTACAAGTCAAGTCTATTTTCGAAACGTTATATCCTATAACAAATCCTGTTATTAGAAACTTCAATGTCTATAATCTTCATGACAAGTTTTTGTGTCAGGTATTATAAAAATTTTCATTGTTTTTATCACTTCCTAATAAATTTTAAATATATGTACTTCTCTCTTGAATTAATCCCTTGTCTGTATTCTATAATTAAATTAAAAAAACGAGGCTATAATATCATATAATCTATAATATACATAACGTGAACTATAGATTTTCAGTATTTGCAGTGAATAACGAAACGCAACCTATATCATAGCTGTTTTCTTTTTCTTAGTTAATTACAGAATGTATGCGTTGAATGCGGACAACGTGTTAATTTAAGACATCGAGACCTGCATATATTAAAAATCTATTTAGAAAAACGATAAAAAAACAATGGAGATACACACACGCACACACGTTATGTATCATTAATTCTTTCTCAGAAAAGTCGAATCAACTTTCTCATCAGTTAGACGACCAAAGAGAGGTAACTCAAAACCAAAATTACAAAAAACAATCTTAATTGCAATCCCTAATTCTGTGGAATTTCGCAATTATAAATCGAATAAATTATACCAGGTATATAAAAATATATAATTTTTGAAAATACTATTCTATTTCTCTTCTCTATCTACCTCTTCTGATTCCCCTTCATTATAGAAAGTTGTCATGCTACAAAACGTGAGCAATTCTTCAGTCAGATTTCAATTAATGGCAAGACCTAATTATTCTCAATTCACTGTCATGATCGAACCTAAAACACAAACAGGGAATATTTCTCCAGGATTGCATAGAAAATTGATTATTTTCTTTCGTTGCGATATCTTGGACGAACCCGATGAAACATTAGTAATAAATGTGCAACAAGGACGTTCGGTAATTGTTAAATTACGCGGGTATCGAGATCCACCATTATTGAGAGGTAAATGAATTTACAATTGTAATAAACTCGTCGATACATGTTACCAGTTACACGTATGAAAAAATATGCAAAATATATAAATATTAAATGTAGAAAATTAATACGTAAGAAAAATTCAGAATTGTAATCTTCCATATATATATATATATATATATATCATTGTTTTTTTTATAGTGATTAATATTCCCTATTTCCAATATTCATTGAAAGAACTGCATACGATGGTAAAGGACACGAATTGGATTATAAAAATTCCATATCGACAAATGGATTCTTATGAGGCAATATAGCTCTATTTTCTAATTTTTAATGACATTCAAAATAATTACACAGTTACTAGTTAAAAAATTTAACTATTTTAACAAAAACTTACAGTTTAACGACACAGATAAGAGTGCATCAGATACATCTATAGAAAGCATAATGCGATATAGGAAATTAAAGAGCTTTGACTGTGGGGAGTGTCTGGTAGGTGAACAAGTTACCTTACCCCTGATGATTAAAAATGTCGGTGGCGAAGGAAGATTCTTTATTATGAGCGAAACAGATTGGTGCTCGATGCACATCGAGGTAAAAATAAATAATGGTATTATAAAAAAATAGAAAAGTAGTTATTGACAATAACTATACAAGTATATTCCTATCTTATTTTAGGATGTTACTAACAATAATATACTGATTTTATCATCTTTTGCTATATGGCCTATGTATTTTACCCTCAAACCACAAGAGCATATATATCTGTACCTCTACTTCTTCCCTGATGCTCATGGAATGCATGTAAATTATAATGCAAAAGAAATAAACTTTTCATACTTTTTCTGTTAGATGTCTTTCCTTCTTTTTTTCCCAGTGTTAGAATATATCTAGATACACATGTACATGTATGTACAATATATTAATATATATATAACTGAGATCTTGCTATTTTTTATAGGTAGTACTATATAGGTATAAGTAGGTACGGTATGCGATTTTCCTTAAAGTATCTAAATACTTGGATACTTCCAAAAAAGTACCTATAGATACCTTTTTGATAAAGTATCTTAGATATTTTAGTGGAAATTACATACGGTACCTAGTACTGTATCTAAATATGAAAAGATCTCAACTTAGGTATTTGTACATGTGTATTTAGATATGTTGCAATACTGTTTTTTCTAAATTTCTTTTTTCTAAAATCAGGTGGAAACATTATATGCGATTTGCAACAATTGTTCCGTAGTAACGACAGAGATCATTGGAGATGGAGTCATATACGAATAATAGTAGAAAGGTATATACTTATTTATATGTATTCGTATATGTATTCGTACATGTATATGTATTCGTATATGTATATGTATTCACAAAAATGTACCATTTTTTACCATATTCGTATATATATTGATAAAAAAGTTATAAACACAATGGTAAGAAACAATGACCATATTTCGATAAATATTACCAGGACTGAAAGTTTATACTTCAAGTGACGTAAGTATATCATAGATTTTCAGTACTAGTAGTGTAAATATATCGGAATACGGCCATAAAGTGGGTTGTGGACATCCCATTTTTAGAAACAAAAAATTCTTTTTGCGAAAAGAGATCTTCGAAATAGACATTTTCTCTTTTTTTCTTGGCATGATCGCCTTTTTAAACTTCTTCCAAACTTTCCCCGCCCCCCCCCCCCCCGCTCTTAGATTCTTCTTCTTTACTATCGTAAAGAAGATGACAATAAATGTTTTTAGATTTCAGCCAAGAATATTACAAATTTATTAAGTCAACAAAGAAACTCTTTCTCTTTCTCTCTCTCTTTATTAAAGTATTGTGTGATACAGTTTCGATCAATTTCACCATCTTAGGAACATTTATTCAAACGTGCAATAAAAAATCCAACAGAATCACTTTCAGGACCAAATCTACATACTTTTGTCGCATTCTCATTCGTTAAACCATCTATAATGTATCCTCGAGTGCCATATTTGTCTGTTTTTATTTGATCTTTGACAGATTGTAATTGCAATTTTGGAAATTGTTTCAATGCCCAAGCGATAATTCCTTCATTCTCTGCTATTGTGATAGTGCATGTACTATACACCAATGTCCCTTTTGGTTTCAAAAGACGTACAGCCTATGTATAACAGTATTTATCTTTCTTAAAGTTTAATCTAAGTGTATATATATATATATATATATGTATAACAGATACATATTTATGTAGCAAATAATTTAATTTGTGTACTCACGATAGAAAAGAGATTTCGCTGCAAAGGAACGTAAGAATGAAGTTGCACGGACGTGATTGTATTGTATAATTGCGGTCTTTGACCTAACGCACTGCATGGAGTATCTAAGAGAATACGATCGAAATAATTTTCTTCGAATGGAGGTTCGTCGGTATGGACGAAACTATGCTCTCGTTCGATGACAGCCTTTGTAGCATCATAACAAAATATTTTTATATTTTTATCATTACATTTTTCCTTAAATCGTTTCACTTTACCTGAATTTTTTTCCAGAGCTATTAATGTACCCTGGAAATTATATCAAAGATGACAATTAAATTCAGTGAATACACTATACAATCACTACACTACATATATTTACTTTTTTTTTATTGTTATCGTTTCGTGCTTGTGCGAATTTAAATAGATAAAGTGCACAATAATTGGAAAGAATAATGAGATGTTACATACTATGTAACAAATAAATCCTTTTTTTCTTTAAACATTTACCTGTCCTTTCATAAGCAAGGAAATATGTGTGGTTTTGTTACCAGGTGCAGCACACATGTCCAGGATTGTTTCACCTGGTTGAGGATTTAAAACTAGGCTACACACAATAGAGGGCAAATTTTGTAATAATGCATGTGGTCTCAAAAATTCATTATTTACATTCAATTGTGGAACTCGTGAGATTACATCAGTCATAATTATTGTAATACCACTGGAAAACAATTTAGTAGAAAATAGAAAAGATTTAATAACCAATAAAGTTATCATGCGTGTAAAATTTCAACACTGAAATATTATGTAACATCTACAATTTAAATGTATAATGTGTAGTTCTTTATAACGATAATTCTAACATAATTAAGTAAGCTAACTAATTCCATTCTCGCGTATATTTGAAACTCTATACCGTGGATTTCTAGCTGCTTTGCAAAATAATTCTTTCCTTGTTTGTCGAAGAATGCCGTTACCTAAATATATCTTATTACTATTTGCATATGGTTTAATTAAACCTTTCTTACATTGACCAGTAACATCAGCGAATACACTAACTTTAGTATTAATGCTTAAACCTATAATTAAATAAATTTAATTACAAGATTCTTTTACAGATACTTTTAATAACAGAAAGAATTCTATGTACACAAAGACTTTACCATTTGGCATTCCAATAACGCCAGGAGCATAAACATGAGAACCTCTTAGCACAGCCGCACCACATATAGCGTCAACAATAATTTCATCTGGATATATCTTTAAATCAAGAGATACCGAAAAATCCCAACTATCAACTGCAACTATTCCATTTGGAAGATCTGGTAAGAAGTGAATAGATGGATCCGGTTTGCCATCCTAACATAATATATAAGTATTACATGTAAAATTTTTTTGTAAAAAAAAAGTACGTACCTAGAAATGATAGGAATATACTATACATTATACAGAATATATCTAGGACAAAAGACAAATCACAATGTATCTCAGATATGTCAAGATTATATATATAATATGTCTTGGATCTTGGAATATACGAGAAATATTTAAGTGTAAGTTTTTTTTATAATATAGTTTGTGACTGGAAAACAATTCATGTATCGATTATAACTGCTTCTTATTGATCGGCATCAAAATTATTAAATATCATAATTATGTGTTATTAAAAAAAATTGATTTATTTTTTTGATGTACCTGTTTTAATGCTTTATATAAATTGTCCAGATCGTTCGTAAAATAATCCGTAAAACGATCTAGTCTATAAAAGCTCTTCTTAGGCGTTGTACATAACCATTTACAAAGAGCATCAACCTTTTCCTACAATTTTTGTTTTTCTTTAATACAAATAGAAAATATTTGATTTTGTGTAATAACAGTAAGATAATTTATGAAAATTTTGTTAAAATACCTCGATTTCAGATTGTTCTAAGTATTTATTGTTAATTATCGCTTTTCTCAAGTCTGCTATTAATTCATCACGTATTTCAAGCTTATGTTTAAAAGGCAAACAATATAATAACCCTTGTAATGACGTCATCTCTCTTTTTCTATTTTTCTTACTTATTATCTTCATGCAAATCTTCGTGCAATTGCTCTTCAATTATTATTCAGCAGTTAGTTAAATGTCTAATATATCATCGGCACAATTTATAATTTAGATAGATATTTTCAGATCCAGATAAATTTCCGCGAAATTTTGAATATCTTCTGTGAATTGTTGTTCAAAATCTCTTTTAAACACATATAGGAATATATTTTATTAACTAGGAAATTTCTATTTAACCATTTGGTAAAAATGAAGGATTTGAAGGATAATTGATTATACAAAACGCGTAGTGGTTGATAAAACTCTCGCATAAAAATTTCTTCTATTTTCATAACAATTCTCATTTGCTATGCAGCTATTTACTTTTATGTGGCAAGTTTAGCTGAATTAGAAAACACAAAATTATCAATTCTTGACATTTACAGGACATGGCAACATCCTATGTGAGTAATGGACTATAAATGGAAGTTTGATGTATATACAAAACCACTTAATTGCGCTTTTCGCATATTTAATTATCATTGCTATCCTAGTAAATATCAACTAACAGCTGGTAACATGATATATCAATATTATAATTTCCTATTTCCAACATTGTAACTGTTACGTACAAAAGCGTTATATTATACTTATTTGTTGAATGAGAAAATTATAATACTCATGTATGATATATATATATATATGTATGTATGTTAGTGTTTGCCAAGATGATCATTTAAAAATAAAAAAATAAATGTCTTTATGATTACGGCCACGTAGCATATAATTAACAATAACAATAAAATATAATTAAAGTTATCCAGACAATACGTATTGTAATAAATTTATTTTTCTTTTATATATAGACACTCGCGATAAATTAATACAATACTTGTGTTTTATTTTTTTAACACAGTTCTGATCAATATGCCCCAAATAAAATGTCTACCTTTGGAAGAGTATCAACAACTTCGTTTAGATTTAGATCGAATCCGCCGAGAAACTGCAAGTCTTCATCAGAAATTATGTCATGCTAGAAGAAATTTAGAGGAGGAAAAACGTAAACGTCGAACGATTGAGCATCATAAAAACTTGCTGGTAAAACTTCTTCTAACATTAATTTCCTTTCTAAGCTCTCTCATATAAAAAATTGTTTCAAAGATATATAGATATTATTAAATTATAAAATGTTTATCATTTAGTTTTAAATCAAGTATGTTTGTGTTTGAAAGGAAAGTCAAATCAACATGGCTAAAAAGGTGTTATTTCATGACAGAGAAATAAATTTGAACGAAGATATAAAAAAAAAGCTAGAATTTCTTAATAAACCTGAAATCGAATTTAAAAATAATAATTTAACTGTCCAAGACAAATGGAGTGATAGACAGTAGGTATAGAACTAGCATAAAAAGTATAATAATATTCTATTTATATGAAAACTTGATGATTTTTATAGTCTGACTACAATAGCGGAAACAGATTCTACAGGTTCGATATTAAGTGACTTAAATTGTTTATCCAAGTCAGAAGATGATTTGGATACCGATACTATCATAAAGGTTCAGAGAGAAAAAAAGTGGAAAGAGTATAAACCTAATGGTGAATATTCTATGAATAAACGGTGTGACACATTAGATAAAATTGTAGAATTTAATTCGTCAGATGGAGTAACAGCGAAAATTAAAGCTATTAAGGCAAAAGATAATGCACACTCTGTACCTGTCACAACTCAAATTGCATCTAACAAAGAAAATATTGATTCTAAATCATCCAAGGTCCAAGTGTCTTCTGCTAATCATAGCTTTATATCAAAGATAGTTATTAAACCGGAAACATGTACTCCATGTGGTAAAAGGTAATATCTATGAAGATGATTATAGTGACAGTTATATAATGAGGATACAATTAAAGATTTAGACCCCGTTCCACCTTTTGGTAAATTTTACCTGGGTAAGTAGCAAGATTATCCAATCACATGGGCGAATTATCAGATTTACCTAACAGGTAAAATTTACCAAAAGGTGGAACAACCGGCCCTTTTAGACCAAGTTATTTCATTTTCCTTCTGTTTGATGTCAGAATCAGGTTTGGAAAGATAGCACTGAAATGTAGAGATTGTCCTATTACATGTCACACAGAATGCAAGATTCAAGTTACTTTAGTTCCATGCGAACGTGGAAAATCAGCAATGTTATTTGGTGGATCTGTAAGTACTGCACGAAATAATGGTTGCGTTCAGCAGACTCAACAGTTTTGCAACCGTTTTATGATTCTTCGCTGAGATAGGACTATTCCAGACTATTCCTTTAAGGCCATCATGCGTGGTCTACAATGGACAGTAACAGTAGTGAATTAAGAAATAGGCGTAGAAATCGATCAATCATGGTTGATTATTCTCCTCACATTCGATTATGATTGGTTGATTTCTACGCAAACTTCTTAATCCACTACTGCTACTGCCCATTGTAGACCACGCATTACACGTAAAAAAATTTTAGTCGTAATCGTAAGGCCTTAAGCAAATCAGCCAATCACAGTCGAGCGTTTTGAAACGCATAATTTTGATTGTGATTGGTTGATTTGCTTGCGACCTTATGATTACGACTAAAATTTTTGTACGTGTGATGGCCTTTAGTCCGGATCTACAATAGGTGTTTTAAGACTTAAGCCATAAGAAACTGACCAATTATAGTCGAATCCAAGGGGAATAATCGACTGTGATTCGCCCATTTCTTATGGCTTAAGGCTTAAAATTCTATTGTAGATCCGGGGTTAAGGCCCAGTTTCACAACTCACGGTTAACTCTTAAGCATCGTCTATAATGAGCAGTAACAGTAATGGTAAGGCTGTAAGACACATCGGGAGTAAGCTGATTTTCCACTATAATAGGGCATAAAGTAAGTCCGTAAGAACGGTTGAAATGCATTTCCTACGTTCTACTCTTTTGTTTGTTTACGGACTTATTCTATGCCCTATTATACCAGGAAATTAGCTTACTCCCGATGTGTCTTATAGCCTTACCACTACTGTTACTATTCATTGTAAACGACGCTTTATGCGGGGTCTACAATAGAAGTAGCAGTCGTAGAAAATTGACCAATTGCAGTCGAATATGAGAAGAATAATCAACTGTGATTGGTCAATTTTCTACGACTTCTATTGTAAGACCCTACGACCGCTACGACTTCTATTGTAGACCCCGCATTAGTCCGGATCTACAATAGGGTTTTAAGCCTTAAGCCATAAGAAATGGGCGAATCACAGTCGATTATTCCCCTCGGATTTGACTGTAATTGGTCAATTTCTTATGGCTTAAGGCTTAAAATACCTATTGTAGATCCGGGGTTACCCCAGATCTACAATAGGGTTTTAAGCCTGAAGCCATAAAAAATTGGCGAATCACAGTCGATTATTTCCCTCGGATTCGACTGTAATTGATCAATTTCTTACGGCTTAAGTCTTAAAACACCTATTGTAGGTCCGAACTTAAACCCATGGCACATACAAAAACGTAAGGCCGTAATACGTAAGCAGTAAAGAAATCGTAAGATTGGTCGCGTTCAGCAGACTCAACTGTTGTGGAGCGGATCCGTGAGCGCTCACTGCTATTGGTGTATTCTTTTAGATCATCCAATAGCAGCGAGAGCTCATTGATCCGCTCCGCAACAGTTGAGTCTGCTGAACGCGACCATTGAATTCGCTACTGGCCTTACGGTCTCTATCGCGATTGGCCAATTCGCTTACTGATTACGTCTTACGTTTTTGTATGTGCCATGGGCTTTACGATTTCCTTACTGCTTACGTCTTACGGCCTTACGTTTTTGTGCCATGGGCTTTAACCGAGGTTCAACTTGTTCCTCAACTCTTTCTAATTCTAAAATTGAAAAGAGACAGTGAATAAGTTGAACCTCGATTAAGAGTTAACAGGGAGTTGTGGAATTGGACCTAAATCTAAAAGTATGGACGGAATTCATAGTCTGGTCTTAAGCCTGATTTATAATGGCCGTAACCGTTAACTTATGCCGGTGCCGGTAAAGTTCAACCATAGGATTTCAATGCTTTCGTTCATACTAATACGGTAAGTTAGTATACGGTTACGGCCATTATAAATCAGGCTTTAATCTCAATCAATGTCTTAAAATGCTAATACGGCTCTCTGATTGATTCATGCACTAGCTTAAGACCATCTCGAATCTTAAGCAACGTTTATGGATTCCGTCCTATAATCCAATCAGCGCGATGAATCATAAAATGGTTGCAAAACTGTTGAATCTGCTGAACGCAGCCAATAGGTCTGCTGGGGGTCGATAAGTCGATTGCGTATCTCGAAATGAGGTGAAAATTACAAAAGCGAGCAAATTCACTAGAATAATCATAATTTAATTGGTCAATATCTAGTGAATTTGCTCACTTTTGTAATTTTCACCTCATTTCAAGATACACAATCGATTCCCTGTTCTCGTTGCTTGCACTTTTTTCACCTAACATCTTTTCATTACTTTTCAACGCCCAAATATATATATAATGCGTGGTCTAATGGACAGTAGTAGTAGCGGATTAAAGAGTAGGTGTAGAAATCAACTAATCATAATCGAATGAGAAGGATAATCAACTATCACTGCTTCCCATTTGATAACACAAATCAACACAAGCGTCGTTCTATCCTTGACATTCAGAGAGTGACAAAGATAGAACGACATTTGTGTCCACTTATGTCGACTGTGTCTCCTAAAAGGAAAGCAGCCTGTTGCGTGGTCTACAATGGGCAGTAGCAGTAATGGATTAAGAAGTAGGCGTAGAAATCGATCAATCATGGTTGATTATTCTTCTCACATTCGATTATGATTGGTTGATTTCTACGCCAACTTCTTAATCTACTACTGCTACTGTCCATTGTAGACAATGCGTTGTCTACAATGAACAGTAGCAGTAGAGACTGTAATCATGTCGGGAGTAAGCTAATTTTCCAGCTGAGCCATTAATGATTAGTCGATGAACTTCAAATCGATGTTGATTCAACGTCGCTCAACGTAAAATCAATGTTAATTCAACGTCGATTGACGTTAATTCTATACTGATCGATCGTTCACTTGTAGCTAGGGATGTAACAGAGCGTAGAGTAAGTCCGTAAGCGAAACGGATTTCAACTATTTCGCTTACGAACTTCAGCCTGATTTATAATGGCCGTAACCGTTAACTTATGCTGGTGCCGGTAAAGTTCAACCATAGAATTTCAATGCTTTCATTCATACTAATACGGCAAGTTAGTATGAACGAAAGCATTGAAATCCTATGGTTCAACTTTACCGGCACCGGCATAAGTTAACGGTTCAGCGGGATCTACAATAGAGTTTTAAGCCTTAAACCATAAGAAATGGGCGAATCACAGTCGATTATTCCCCTCCGATTCGACTGTAACCCCGGATCTATTGTACAATAGGTGTTTTAAGCCTTAAGTCGTAAGAAACTGACCAATTACAGTCGAATTCGAGAAGAATAATCGACTATGATTCGTCCATTTCTTATGGTTTAAGGCTTAAAACTCTATTGTAGATCCGGGGTAATTGGTCAATTTCTTACGGCTTAAATCTTAAAACATCTATTGTAGATCCGGACTTACGGCCATTATAAATCAGGCTGCAGACTTTAGGGAGCGTTTATATTGACCGGAACCGTATGCCATATGCCGTAATCTGTAAAAACTGACCAATCACCTTTGAGTATTCATATAAACCATATAAACGCTCCTTTAAGTCTAATTTATAATGGCTGCGTTCAGCAGACTCAACAGTTTTGCAACCGTTTTATGAATGGC